AGACTACAGTCATCTTTAACCAGTTCTCTGTACTTGTGCCAAATGTTTGTTTTGTCATTCTGGAACAAACATCCATCAGCACCTGATAAATGGAATGAGAGCAGAAGCTGCTAACTTAAACTGTGCTTATGCTCCCTCATTTTTGAGTTAAAAACAGGCTATCATTTCCACCAATGGGACAAAAGCATGTTGTGTTTACTGAATCTAATTATACTTAATTTGTTACAAACTAAAACATTGAATGAATAAAATAAAATAAAATCTATCATCTACACCCCTAAATGTGGCCTGAAAGAAAAAGTCTTGTAAATGTTTCTATCATATTTGTGTAAATCATTGTTTAAAAAAATAAAAAAGCATCAAGCACATTGTTATTTTATTACTTGTAAAATCTCAAACTTATCTAAGGACATGCTCGTTTTCAATCACACACCCACTGGGTAGATTTAAAATCAGTGGATGAATTTCAACAACTGATTAAACATTGGGGTCAACCTAATTTATGATGGCCGTCACATCAAACTGACTWTAGAGAACAAAAACAGCTGTAACTATATATTTAAACACAAATGTTATGTTCTAGTAACGCAATGACAAATAAAATCTTTCATGTCTTTTATGTTTTGGTGTGGTTGTWGGTGAGCATCCCTCACAACAATACTGCACATAATGATATTTTCAATGGTGGACCAAAGTAGCAGTCATTTCTCAATATATGATGTCTCTGATTAAAGTAATTCAATATAACTCATTCAAATCAGGCGTGTTGGAGCAGTGAAACTTCTAAAACCTGCAGGACAGTGACCATCCAGGACCAGGACACCCCTGAATAAAACTCTGGTCTTATTGTTACAGTCTGAACTGGTCCAATCTGAATAAACCCCACGTGAAAAACATCTTGATTGTATCAAACAGATTCTGTGACGTGTACCTGGTCAGCAAACTTGGCCATGTAGTGCTGCAGGCGATTCTGGTTGTCGGTCTGCTCACACATCTGAACCAGGATGTCAAAGTCACAGTACTTCTCAGCCAGCGCTGCCACCCACTGATACTGTCCAAGCTCCACTGCAAAGCACAGAAATCTCATGATGTCCTACCAGGGAAGACACAACTCCAGACTGTGTGGAGCTTTTAACTCAAGGAAGTGAGTTATAGAAACACTCAAACTGCACAGAGACTTGTTAATTCTTTAACAGTTAAATAAATGACTAAAACTGATCACAAACTATAACAAACTTTGTGTTTTGGCCAAAACAACAACTGGTTTGTTCAGCGTTGCATCATCAGTGCTGTTCATAGATCATGGCTTATTGTTAAGTAAATTGGAACGATACGGTGTGAGAGGACTAGCCCATTCATGGATAAAAAGTTTTTTGGATCATAGATATCAATATGTACAAATAAATAATGTGAATTCTGATTTACTGAAWGTAACCTGTGGAGTATCACAAGGGTCGGTATTGGGTCCAAAACTTTTTTTTACTTTACATAAATGATCTTTGCAATGTATCTAGATTACGAACATTCACCTTATTTGCTGATGATACTACATTATACTGCTCTGGTAATAGTTTGGAACGGCTTCTGAATACAATGGAAATGCATAGGCCTGTCGCGATAGTCAATAAATCAATTAATCGCACGATAACTTTTTTTTAGGTCGGTAAAAAAA